ATGGTCGCGGGGCGTACAGTCGCGGCCTTGCCAGCTCACTGAACCGACCGGAAGCGATGCTCAAAGGTCAAGGGGCTCAGACGGGTCCTGGAGCCCCGCCGGGTCGGACTCCTCCAGGATTGAAGTGTGGCTATCCTCCCTGGGGATGATTTCTCACTATCTCTCTCTCTGTCTCTCTCTGGTGAGTGTACATGCCCTATACCAAAAAAGGAGGGGGAGGAGAATATTCTAAAGAACATCTGTGTAACTACTATTTGGTTAGTCAAATCTGATCATGTTTTGTTATATTTGCTTCTGATTTTTCTTTTTTCTTTAGAGAGGTTTTTACTACAGGGCAGATGCGCTCACTGGAGAAACAGGCAGAGACAGAGAGAGACAGAATGCGAGAAATCATTGCCCAGGTGCATGGCCACACTACAATCCCTTCTCCTCCATTCTCTTGGGCACACATGCACACATGCCCAGTGTGAGCTTTAAGCCACCGGGTCTGGGACTCGAACCACTGTCGACTACATGGGAGTCCAGCAACATAACCATTATGCCATCTGCTGGTCCCCTGGTTTTTCTTCTTAATGAAATGAAAGAAATATAGGTGACGTTCTAGTGTAAGTTTTCAAGAATTATATATATGGTTTCTTTATCCTTTTCTGCTATTGCTGTTACGGAAGGAATTGGGTCCCTCCAAAATTCATATATTAAAACCCTAACCCCCTGTGACCAGCAGTTAGAGTAATGACTATGTTGCTGAACTCCCATGGAGTCAACCGCGATTCTAATCCCAGACCCGGTGGCTTAAACTCACACTGGGCATGTGTGCGTGTGTGCCCAAGATCCCGAGAGGAGAATGGAGGAGAAGGGATTGCGGTGTGGCCATCCCCCCTGGGGGCTAAGTTCTCACTTTCTATCTCTCTGTCTCTCTGTCTCTCTTCACCCTATAGCAAAAACATCTCCAAAAAAAAAAAACCTAACCCCTAATGAAACTGAATTTCAAGACAGGGCATTTGGGGGTAGAGATAAGGTTAAATTAGATCATAAGGATCATAAGGAAGGGACCCTGATCACATAGGGCTGGTGTCTTAATGCAAAGAGGGAAAGACACCAGCCTTCCAGCTAGTCAGAATCATGGGCACTCAGAGGGTTCAGGTTCACCTGGGCCTTCACCTATGGTTCCCTCACTTGCAGCCATGTCCTACGATGCACCATTGCAGGCAGCATCTTGGTCTTAGGCCTCTGGCCTTCAGAACTGTGAGAAAATAAATGTTCATTGGGCCAGCAGGTGGTCTAGTGGTTAAGATAGCTAAATCCCACATGGCCGACTGCAGTCTGAGTACCGGACCTTTGACTTGAAAATACTCCAGGCAAGTGTATGTGTGTGCCCCAAATCCCAAGACGAGAGTGGAGAAAAGATGGCAGCATGGCTATTTCCCCTGGGGAGTGCTCTGCTAGTATCTCTCTTTGTCTCTGGAGAGCACACGTATCCTATAGCAAAAATAAATATTTATTTATTTATTTATTGTTTAAACCTTGCTATTTGTGGAATTTTGTTATGCCAGTCCCAGCAGACTAATAAAGTCAGTAAAAAAACTACAACTAGTTCAGGTAAGACTATTAATCATTGGGATACTTCAAAAATGAGGGTGCCCAACCAGGTAAAGAACCAGAACCGGGGAACCAGCAGTTGGTGTAATGGCTATGTCGCTGGACTCCCACGTAGTCGACCGCGGTTCGCGTCCTGGACCTGGTGGCTTAAAACTCACGCCGGGTGCGTGTGCATGCGTGCCCAGGATCCCGAGAGGAGAATGGAGGAGAAGGGATTGCGGCGTGACCATCCCCCCTGAGGGGTGATTTCTCGCTTTCTGTCTCTAATGTCTCTCTGTCTGTCTGGAGAGCACACGCGCACTATAGCGAAAATCTCTCAAAAAAAAAAAAAAAAAAGGGAAAAACCCCAAAAAAAAAAAAAAAGGGAAAAAAAAAAAAAAAAAGAACCAGAACCGGCTGAAGTGGTTGTTAAAGGCAAAGGGAATCCAGAATGAGTAGAAGAGCAGAGTTATAAACAACTGCTTCTGATGAACCTGGGATCTTGTCGTACGGCTTCAGCACCATGGAGCATGGCTTTCCTGCTGCACTGTTGCAGCTGGTTGGCCTCTTCTGTGGTTTAGGGCTCATGTGATTACTTTGAGCACACCTGGATAAAGCAGGCTATTCTCCCTAGTATAAGGGAATACACACTGCATCAGGCTGGATGAAAGAATATCACTATTTTGTATCTTTTCTTTTAAATTTTTTGCCATAGGGTGGCATGTGCTTGCTAGAGAGAGAGAAGGAAAGTGAAAAATGACCTCATTCTCCTCTCACACACATGCGCCTGATGTGTTTTTCAACTGCCAAGTCCAGGACTCGAACTGTAGAGCCCTTCTCTTTTTGTTTTATTATTTTCAAGGTTTTGGCTGTAGGGCGCCTACACTCAAACTGCAGTAGACCACGTGGGAGTCCAGCACCTTAACCACTACACTACCTGCTGGCTCAGTTCTCTCCTCTTTTCTTTTCTCCTTTTTTTCTTTTCTTTCTTTCTTTTTTTAACCCCTTTTTTCTTTTCTTTTATTCCCCCCACCCCTACCCTATCAGGGCATGAGTTTTATTCACTATCAAGGAATAGAATAGTAGGAACTTCGCTCACAAATCAACGTGTCTTGAGCTGAGGATAAGATACAGCAAATGTATCTTATACAGTAATGAAGGGATGGGATAAGGTAATAGAGGGAAGGAATAAGAGATTTTTTTGGAAAAGGCCAGAGTTTCCCAGAATTCCAAAACTTACCTCCTTTTTCTCCTTGTAAGGTCATTTCTGGTGGTAACCTAGGTGATTATAAAGTATCCTATGTGATTATAAACTATCATGGTGCTGGTAGGTGTGTCATTTTATATTCTTACTTTTTTAACTACTTAAAAAAATATTTAACTTTATTATTATTTTCCAGTTTGACCAGACAGAGAGAGAGAGAGAGAGAGAGAGAGAGAGGGAAAGTGAGAAAGCAAGCCACCAGGTCCAGGACTTGGACTGTAGTCAGCCATGTGGGAGTCTAGCACCCTTAACCACCATGCCACCTGCCAGCCCCTGTTTCATATTCTTTTTTAGAGAGACTTTTGCTATAGGGCCTGTGCATTTGACCGAGAGACAGAGAGACAGAAAACGAGAAATCACCTCTGCCATGCTACAATCCCTTCTTCTCCAGTTTCCTTTCAGGATTTTGGGTGCGCACACGCACATACACACTCACACACACACACACACACACATGTGCCGGGCGTGAGTTTGAAGCTGCCGGGTCTGGGACTTGAACCTCAGTTAACTATGTGGGAGTCCAGCGACATAACCATTATACCATCTGCTAGTCCCTGTATGTCATTTTATAGTCTAATGCAGTACAATAAAGGTATAATGAGTTTGAAGGTTAGGCAGTAGTTGGTTCAGGCAGCATCTTAGTTCTGAGTGGTTCAGGTTGGGCTTTTTAGTAAAGGCCTTATTTTTAGCTATTGGCATCCATCCTGTTGTGTGTGTGTGTGTATGTGTGTGTGTGTGTGTGCATGTGTGTTTAATTATTTTTCGGTTGTAATTTTGGGAGTGGCTAGTCTGGGTTGTCTTTGCTTTTAGTGTATCTAAAACAACAATTTTTTTTTTTAAAGATAAAATGACTCTGGACTTCTGTTAGTAACTGCTGAGAAGTTTAGAGAAAGATTATATTTGTGCTTAGTACTCTTGTGTTTTACAAGACATAAATAGTTGTCTTAAGACATCAGAGATGATTGAAAACATTTTTAAAAATTGGATGCAAATTCTGAATATAAGAAGGCAACACTGGAAAAAAAAAAGAAAAAGAAAAAAAAAGGATAACTTTTGCTTGGAAAAGTCACACAGACCTTTGGACAGCAGTATAGTTAGCTGTTAGATGGCTCCCGAATGGCCTTTAGGGTAATTTTCTGTCAGAAAATAAGGAGATGGTTGCAGCGACCTTTGGCCTGAATCCTTCAGTCAGAGCCCTTCCTTACTGGCAGCCAATGCCCATAGATGGGCTGATAAGGCCATGCTGGCAAGAAAGCTAATTAGAGTACCCTCCAGCCATTCCTTATAAATACATCACATCTCCTCAGTGGGGTGGGCTGAAGCACCTCTGACTTCAGACCTCAGGGATGTTCTTTTTCTCAATAAATTTTTCTTTTTCTCTTGAGGTGGTACCTCCTGAATCTTACTCTGAAAACTAATAGCAGCTTTTAGAGTTTTCAAAAAAGGTTATAGAAAATGTGTATTATAAAAAAAGCTATGCATGGATGCCAGTAGGTAGCATGATGGTTGTGGTGTTTGACTCCCACATTGCCAACCATGATTTGAATTCCGGACCCAGCAGCTTGAAACTCATGCCAGGCATGTGTGCTCACATGCCCCAAATCTCAAGAGAATGGAGGAGAAGGGATTGCAGTGTAGCCATCCCTCCAGTGGGTGATTTCTCATTTTCTCACTCTCTGTCTTTCTGTCTCCGGCAACCACATACTCCCTATAACCAAAAAACCTCTTAAAAACAACAACAACAATAAAAAATATGCATGGATTTCAAAAATTCTGCACCAAAATAAACTCGTACTTTAATTCAGTTTCCCTTTGAACTTTTCAAAGAATCTTAGCCAGGAACTGAAGTTTCAGGAGTTTATGTCACAGACTTAATTCTATAAAGGCAAAGAAAAAAGATACACAAAGATAATCATGGCAACATTTTAAATATCATGAAAAACGTGTAGATAACCAGACAAGCAAAATATCTAACTTTATAAAAATTGTTTAATAATGTCCAGATTGTAATCAAATTATACAATCATAGCTGCAAGGACTATAGAATCGTATTACAATGATGGTGAAATAATAAGAATATAAGATAATGGACATCATGGACAAGTACAAGGTAAATTGACAAAAATAAATAGTGGCTTGGCATAATAATTATACATGACTACTATTATTTTTAAAATGACTAATTAGTGGTACATTCTTTCAATAAATAACATGTATTGCTCTTCTGTGTTACATAACCTAGATCATCTACAAAATTAAAGGTACTGCTATTTTAATTGGTTGGTGTAGTGGAAACATTAAAATGAAATAAAAGTACCTAAGCTTGTATTTAGGAGAAAAACCACATAAACACTGAAGTTCATATTTTACTAGTATAATACAACTATGAGACTATTTTCCTGAAAAAGTCATTATTACAATCCACGCACCGAAAATATATACCAATTTGTGACCCCGACGTGATTTGAACACGCAACCTTCTGATCTGGAGTCAGACGCGCTACCGTTGCGCCACGAGGCCCCCGTGAATATAGCTTCTGACGGGTGGTGTGAACAGACTTCTCGTCAGCAATAGGGGATGGGGCTTAACCCTCAGGCACCGGCTCGAAAGTTTTATCCTGTGGGTTGCACAAGGCCCCAGCGGCTGAGATGCGCGCGCGCCCATAGAAAACGCTTCTTTTGAGTGAAAGATGAAGAGGCCTATGTGCTTAAATGCACTTAGGTTCGGACCATTAATATTGGGACATACTGATCTCGCACTACAGAGAAATTGATATTTATGTGCTTGGGACTGTTTTTTTTGAGGATGAAGTCATCGCGGCGTCACTGCACTCCTGGTACCCTAGACAAAGTTTAAGACTTAATCACAACTCGGTGGGCGACTCAGACAATCCTTTTATTTAGCTTCTGTGGACTTTGTCCTCAGAAAGGAGCTCAGCAGTGGTGAAAGGCGAGCGCCGCTTATGCGGGTGATTCGTGTTGTGCGCTATGTCTGTCTGGATTTAATTAATGCTGATTCCGTCCTGATCTGGAGTCAGACGCGCTACCGTTGCGCCACGAGGCCCCCGTGAATATAGCTTCTGACGGGTGGTGTGAACAGACTTCTCGTCAGCAATAGGGGATGGGGCTTAACCCTCAGGCACCGGCTCGAAAGTTTTATCCTGTGGGTTGCACAAGGCCCCAGCGGCTGAGATGCGCGCGCGCCCATAGAAAACGCTTCTTTTGAGTGAAAGATGAAGAGGCCTATGTGCTTAAATGCACTTAGGTTCGGACCATTAATATTGGGACATACTGATCTCGCACTACAGAGAAATTGATATTTATGTGCTTGGGACTGTTTTTTTTGAGGATGAAGTCATCGCGGCGTCACTGCACTCCTGGTACCCTAGACAAAGTTTAAGACTTAATCACAACTCGGTGGGCGACTCAGACAATCCTTTTATTTAGCTTCTGTGGACTTTGTCCTCAGAAAGGAGCTCAGCAGTGGTGAAAGGCGAGCGCCGCTTATGCGGGTGATTCGTGTTGTGCGCTATGTCTGTCTGGATTTAATTAATGCTGATTCCGTCTCTACTACAGCTAGACTCTCGCCCCATAGCACTCAGCTTCTGTATAAAACTTTAGGAACTCCAGAACAACCACTTGCTATGGAGCGTTGGTGGTATAGTGGTGAGCATAGCTGCCTTCCAAGCAGTTGACCCGGGTTCGATTCCCGGCCAACGCAAGTGGTTCTTTTCCTTTTTTTTTAAACCTCAGCAGGGAGGTGCCAAGGAAACAAACAACTCCCTGTCTCTGCACCCGGGGCTGTGCAGAACGCAGGCGGGGTGGAGGGGCGCAAGCACCTCGCTCAGTTTCAAACCGAGATTAAAAACGTCCATTTATGTCCGGGAGGAAGCAAGCTTAAGGTCAAGTCAGACAGCGAATTACGCGAGTTGAGTCAGTTTTGCGCGCTGTGTTTACTAAGCTATCGTCAACGATAAATGATAAATATGTTGAATAATGGTTAACTTAGCCACATATTTAAATAGTAAGTTATTTGCAATGAAATATAAACTTGACACTTAGATGATAAAGTTATAAAACCAGAATTAAAAATAATAGCTATTAAAAAGTGAGTGCACCTCTCCCCGTCGGGGAATCGAACCCCGCTCATAGTAGCTATTAAAAAGTGAATGCACCTCTCCCCGTCGGGGAATCGAACCCCGGTCTCCCGCGTGACAGGCGGGGATACTCACCACTATACTAACGAGGAGTAAGCTGATAGGCAGCCTGTCCATATGCTTGATCTGGGACGTTTACCATGTACGACACAATGACAATGACAACGTGAAGCCCACTGGTTAATGTTCTCATAACTATCTAGTATTGCTGACCGGAAACCTATGCACATTTTAGAGCACAGCTGAGAGCCACCCTCCAGGAAGGAGGAAAGGAGCAGAAATGATAAACAAACAAAAAGTCGTTTCGCAGGGCTGCAGAAAACCAACCAAGAGTATGAAAACCTACAGAGACTGTAGTTTGACCGTTCCTGGGCTCTACCAAACACACTCCAAATAGATCCCACCCCATTCCACTTTTTATTTATCTCTTTAGATTGATCAACATCAATCCAATCAAAACCAGGTTCTGTTGGCCCAGGTGAGATACTAAACTTTCAGAAAGCAAGTAGCAGAAAGTGACCTTGGAGGCACTATTTCTGGCACGCCAGGCAGAGCTGCGAATTGAACTTACCATCAGGACGTCCACTCAGAACAAAAGAGCTGTGGCACAACACTTTTCACTGACCAATTTCCAGTCCAGCATTCCGAAGCATTGTTCAAGTATTGAGAACACACTCTTTGGGGCATGCAATATCAAGCAAAAAAGAAAACAAAAACCTAGAAAGGGCTCGTCCGGGATTTGAACCCGGGACCTCTCGCACCCGAAGCGAGAATCATACCCCTAGACCAACGAGCCGACGCACAGGAAAGGCCGCGGACGTCCTTAGAGGTCGTACTAGATTTGCTACAGTGGGAGGCCCTCAGAACCGGTGGAAGTGTCCTAACTCTTGTTCCACCCTAAAGCTGAATACTCTGAATCAAGAGTCTGGGAATCTCTTGGCTCAGGCCCTCAGACTCAGGCTCCTCCCAGGAAATAGCGTCAAGGAAATAAGAGGGAGTGCGCTCGGTCTCCGGCTCGCCCTCGCCCTCGCCCTCGCCCTCGCCCTCGCCCTCGCCCTCGCCCCGCCCTCCAGAACTGCCTCGATCCCTTCCATCTGTTCCCCTACTCAGGTTGCAGGTTCTGCTGGTCGGCGACTCCACACCATCTCGTAACCTGGGGTATGGATCTTTTCGCTATCCTCCTGCGGTCCTTGAACCCAGACCCCCGACTCCCGACCCAGAGCTTTGAAGACAAGCAGTAGAGTTGCCTGGTTTTAGGACGGTTAATGAGCCCCGAAATCCCTGGGTGAACACCATTCTCTTATCTTCGTCCCTGCGTCTGTCCATCCTCCTGGAGTGACAGACAGAGTAAGCCCCAGGCCAGACCTGTCGACAGTCTGTTCTTATTGGATCATGAGGGACAGAGGGAATGACTTCAGGGTTGAGAAGACCCCTGGAGGAGGCGTGATTGAGCTGGGTGGCTGGCGGGGTCGGGGAGGGGGACCGGCTTTCCAACCTGTGGAATATGTCAGGGGCGCCAGGTCTTACCACCGGACGGTCCCTGACGCCTGTACACCGCTACTAGCACTGGTCTCCTGGTCTGTTTGTTCTGGGGCCCCTACTTCCCTTTCTAGAGTCCGCTCTCCTGGAATGGTCCAGAGGGGACCCTCCTAGTTGCCTCCTAAGATTCTGGGTAAGGGGCTCTGGGGCAGGCAGTGTGGTCCAAGGCCTGCAGGCCCGGCATTGGGTTTGTAGTGTCCCCTTGCTCCTCTGTCATTCTCCAAAGCTTGCTATACACTCGCTGTGCTTTACGTGTGAGCTGCAGAGAGTGGGGGGAAGGAGGAGAGGGAGGGGGCGCGAGGGATAAGTTACAGTCCACGGATTTGCCTTCCCTTAGCCCAGTGCCTGCTCTAGGGTGTTTTCCTAGCAGAGTTCAGACCTGCAGCTGCCCTGGACCAGCTTGGTAGCTAGCATCTGGCTAAATCATCATCGTCCACACTGGAGTTGCGTATTTCATGGGGCTAGGCTCTTCCAGATGCCCAACGTACAGGTACTTTTGTTGGAAGGACTCAAGTGAGGGGTTCTGCTTAGCTTTTCTTTTCCAGGTGTCCCTAGGGAAACAGTGGAGGATGGCAGCAGAGGGCAGGCCAGCCTTTTCCATCAGTACTCCAAGGTTTTCAGGTGGATGAGGAGGTTCTTAGGGTTGATCTGGCATTATATCCCCCTTTTTCAAGTCCTCTTCCTCTACTCTTGGGCCTCTAGGCATCTCTCTTTTCCCTGGTCTCAGGTACTTAATCCATAAAGAGGCGGAGGCCTAAATCCTATATGAACATTTTGAAAGCTATGGCTTTTCATTCTAGAAAAATGCATGTACTACCAGGAAGTTCAAAGATACCCTGAAACCTTGTCCATGAGTCCATGAACTCCACTTAGAATCAAAGGACTAACATGTAAATAGCTAATCATTGTTTAAACATAGGTGGAAGTATTTTACATTTCAACAGGTGCCAAAGCTTTATACTAAAGATTGCTACTAAAGCTTAACTTTGGGCAATAAGTTTGAAAGCTATTGGGTAAGAAATTGGAAAGGGTGAGAAGATATCCTTGGTGAATTGGAGGCAATGGAGGCCCTGCCAACACTTTCCTAAAGGACAACCCTGACATACTCCTAAAGTTCTCCCTCTTCTTTAGACTCTATATCTTGTTAATTCCTGAGTTCTGTTTTTTTGTTTTTTTTTTTTAAATCCTAAGCATGTCTTGAATTAATTTCTTCCTACTGCTGCATGAGTACAAACCTTGACATCTCTGGGGGACCAGCAGTTGGCGTAATGCTCTGTCACTGTAGTCGACCGTGGTTCGAGTCCCAGACTTGGTGGCTTAAATTCATGCTGGGCTGTTGCCAGCGAGCACATGTGCACCCCCAAGATCCCGAGGGGAGAATGAAGGGATTGTAGCATGGGCATCATCCCAGGGGGGTTGATATCTGTCTCTCTCTGTTTTTCTGGTGAGCGCATGCACTCTATAGCAAAAAAAAAAAACAACACTCAAAAAACCTTGACATCTCTGTAACAAACCTCTTTCCCTCCCTCCCCACCTGATTGTAGCATTTAACTGGAATGTAATCTAATTAAACATTTTTGTTGTGTTTATTATCTGTTATTCCCTGTTCTCCATCAATATAAAACTCCAGGGCAAAAGTTTCATCTACTTTGTCCCCTGTTGTACTTAAGACTTTTAAAATAGAATTATTCATGTATCTTTCTTTGTTATAGGGCACATGTGCTCATTAGAGAGTGAGAGGAGAAAGTGAAAAACCAAGCCACGGGGTTTGGACCTGCATTACAGTCAGTCATATGGGAGTCCAGCACCTTAACCACACACCACCTGCTGGCCTCAGTCTTTAAGACTGAATTTACTGAGACCAGCAGATAGGCATAGCAGTTATAACAGTGGACTCCCACATGACCCACCATGATTCGAGTCCTGGATCTGATGGCTTGAAATTCATGCTGGGGCACGTGCATGACTGCCAAGATCCTGGGAGGAGAATGAAGAAGGGTTCATGTTCATGACATGGCCGTGCCCCTCTGGAGCATGATTTCTCACTTTCCCTATCATTATCTCTGTGTCTCTCTCCCGCAGTGCTTGCACCCTAAAGCAAAAACCTCTTATGTTTTTGAGAGATTTTTGGTATAGGGCACATGCGCTCACCAAAGAGACAGAGTGAGATGGAGAGACAGAAAGTGAGATGGAGAGATATCAGTCCCTGGAGGAGATGGCCACACTGCAATCCCTTCTCCATTTTTGTCTCTGGACTTTGGGCACACACACATATATGCCAGTGTGGTTTAAGTCACCGGGTCTGGGACTTGAATCATGGTAAACCATGTGGGAGTCCAGCAATGTAACCATTACACCATTTGCTGACCTGAAGCACAAACCTCTTTAAAAAGGAAGACTTAACCTGCTCCAGAAATCCTCCCCTGATCAACCTCTGCCCTTAGGGTAGATGACACACCCGTTTTCTCTGTGCCCTTAGTGCATTGTGTCCCCATTGCATCTTCCCAGGAACCTGAGAAATGGCTGTACCTGTTCCTCTTTGTTATGCAAAGCATCTAGCCTGGTATTTGGCACAAATATGGTCCTTGCAGTGCTGTGTCACTTCCTTGGCATAGATATAGCAATTTCTCCAAGAAAAGACTTTCTCAGACATCTTTGAGTAGTTCCTGTGCCAGGGGATGATATTTAGCCCTCTGAAGATTTGGGCCCTGCCAACAGTCCACAGATCGTATTTCTTGCCTTCTCTCCAACATTTTTTTCACCATTAGCAGCCTGGCTTCAGTGCTCCAAAAATGCACCCTGCCCTTGCTCATCAAATCCTTGGAGAACCCACCAGAATGGGGTTTTCCTCTGCCTTCCGTTCACATGGTCCCAGCCCTTCAGTGTGGACCTGCCCAGGTGGCTCAAGGTCAACCAAATCCTCAGTTAACTCCTAGCCCCATGGAGAGAGAGTGGTAACTACATGCCAAAGGTCTGGTACAGGACTGTACCTAGAAGCCACACCAAGTTTAAAAAATATCTATGTATATACATACATATATATGACATACATATACATGAAATATGTATATAAATATTTTTTGAGAGATTTTTGCCATAGGGCACGTGTGCTCACCAGACAGAGAGAGACAGAGAGACAGAAAGCGAGAAATCACCCCCCAGGGGGGATGGCCATGCCGCAATCCCTTCTCCATTCTCCTCTTGGGATCTTGGGCATGCACACACACGCGCCCGGCGTGAGTTTTAACCCACCGGGTCTGGGATGCGAACCGCGGTCAAGTACATGGGAGTCCAGTGATATAGCCATTACTCTGACTGCTGGTCCCACATATACACTATATAAATATATTAAAAATATATATTTAAATATATATGCATGTATACACACACACACACACACACACACATATGTGTATACTGTTAATGTTGAGGCCCCAAACCAAAGAAATACAAAGAAGACCCAAACAAAACAAAGTGGTTCAGGTTCTAAGAGGTCCTGGTTAGGGGGAAGAGGCTGAGCATTGACCTGATGACAGCCAGGGCTAGCCTACTTGAACAACTGGATGTGGCAAAACAGGTTAAAGCACAATTAGTTCTGCACAAACTTCATGCCTTGGTGAATGCAAAATTTGCGGTTGGAACTCAGCACAAATCCAAGTGGTTTTGGTTCAGAAAGGGAAACACTCTTGACTTCTCATACAAAAACCACCGGTAGGGACCACTGAACCACGAAAACAGGAGAGATTGAAGATTCGAGTCTAATAAAGGCACCGCTGGGATTCGAACCCAGGATCTCCTGTTTACTAGACAGGCGCTTTAACCAACTAAGCCACGGCGCCAGAGTTACAGAGGCACTTTCTAAGGATGTACTACAGGAATATAATACTGGGAGCCTACACAAAGATTTTTAAATTCTGAAATCCATTCAGTAGATCAATTGGCTCTATGTCACGTGCCTGTTCGTGGAATTCCCCCAATATTGAGAAAAGAGAAATAAAATGTCTGAAACAGACGTGCACGGTTGGGAAATTCGCCAGATTCTACAATTTTGAGACTAGAAGCTTGAAGGGTGCCAACTGGACCAGTATCACCTTGTTTAAAAAACGTGATCAGTATGTTGAAGAAAACAGAGCCAACCGTAGTCGGCAGGATTCGAACCTGCGCGGGGAGACCCCAATGGATTTCTAGTCCATCGCCTTAACCACTCGGCCACGACTACACAGCTCTCGTGAGTGCTCTCATCCTGCACCTTTCTTAGTTTCTATGCCCCCGTAAACATTCCGTTGATCATCTTGGTTCCAAAGCGCGCCAGAGGTAGCCGACTGGACCATGGGGGCGCTAAAGTAAAACACAATCAGAACGAACTTTCGCTCGCATCTGCTCTGCTATTCTGAGATTCTCATTCTGCTATTCTGAGATTCTCATTCTCAAGTCTTTCCCCCGCCCCGCCTGCAGTAAACTGCTCCAGGGAAGAGAAGACACTGCGATTGCCGCGGGTACATTCCCTCCGCCCTGTTCCAGAGAACTCCGTTCCAAACTTTAAGAAGCGCTAGAAATCCAGATGTTCTAATGCAGTAGATAAGCAACGTCATTCTGTGATCAGAAAGCATTCGGTTCCGGGCAGAAACGTCCGCGGATAAAGGCCGAGGGAAAAAAAAAAAAAGAAAAAGAAACACACAAGGAAAAAAAAAAATAAGTAAAAGGACAAGAGGCCCGTACGGGGATCGAACCCGCGACCTTGGCGTTATTAGCACCACGCTCTAACCAACTGAGCTAACCGGCCACCCATGAGAGGTTTTAACCTCGAAACTTCACATGGGGTGTTGCTGAAATATGGGAACAAACTACGTCCTATAGAACTGAACACATTTCAGAAAGCTGACAAATATGAACTGAAACACATCCTTAATAGGGGAAGAAACACCTGAGCAGCTGTAATTAGTGTGGCTTGATTATGCCTCTTCACCTAGCAAGCAGCTCTAGGAGGTATAATTCCAACCAAATTCATGAGCACCCTCAATAACCCTAACTCTGGGTGTTGTGACTCAGGAGTTCCTACCCAGTTGGTGGTGTTCAGGAATCTTCCTTAGGCCTATGGGAAACCCATGGTGCTGACCCTTTATCTAGAGACACATGTCCCTCCTAGTATCTGATGCTTCCCTCCTCGCACAGCCATCTGGTACTTCTCAACAGCTCTCAGCTTTTATACTTGGCTTCTCAGGATAGCCTGGTTGACTGAGACCATCATAGCTGTGCTCTCCACTCCCTAGTTTGCTCCCTTTAGGGCCTGATTTTGGTATCATCTCCTCCGCTGGACCAGAAACTTTTCTCCACCTTTGGCACTGGTGGTAATAAAAGTGTTGAAATGATGGTGAATGACAGGCCAGCCACCTGGGCATCAGAATGCTAGTAACTCCAGTGATGTGTGTAAGTGAGAGACATCACCAAAAAACTTTATTGCAGACCAAAAGGCCTATCATTAGCACCCCTATGAGGGGTAATTCTTTTGTTCCTCTGGTTCATGCCACAAAGGCAGCACAAAGGTGCTCTGACCCTAACCAAAGAGGAAATAGTAATGGTGCCATGATTTCACTGTTTCCATGGTTTTTCCAAGGCAGACTGGCACCAGAATGCCAAGAAGTTACAGTGGGGTGGCAGTTTGTGAATCCAGGGATTCAGTGTCCTGTTTCAATCAAAGAGAAGTAGGAGCCACAGCAAGGGGGAAGAGCTGGGACCCAGCCCTCAAGGTCTCCAGCAAAGCAGGAAGAATGTGCAGGCCCATTCTTGCAGTCAGGTTAACAGGAAGAAACAAAGCTGGTGTGCTCTGGCTCCTGGATAGAAAGGCAGGACAGTTGGAGCCTGGGATTCACACGAGTCAACAGAGGGAGCTCTCCACACTGGAAGCGCTGTAGCCGAGGAGGTTCTGAGGGCAAGAGAAGAAAAAAAGGCCCATGCATGCAGTTTTCAGTTCCCATTCACCATTCCCATCCCAAACTCCAGAAATTCCCTACCAATCCTCACAACTCTTTCTCCAAAGAACCCCTCTATCTGCACTCCACCTCCCCTTCCCTTACCTAATGGGATGATCTTAGAGGGTTTCCTCTCAAGTTCGAAAGAAAGCTCAATAGGGCGAAGGACAGAGAGGCTGGTACAAAGTGTCCGGAGGAAGAGGGTCAAGGGCTCATCAATCTCAGCTGAGGACTAGAAAAGGAAACTTGGCATTACTCAGAGCCCAAACTCCTAAGCCCTCTGCCTCAAGTCCTTCAAAGCCCCAGGAATTTGGGTATCTAAGTCCCCCTCTTCCAGTGACATCTCACCTCCAGTTGGGCTCCACGCCCTGTAAATTGCAAGGTCACTCTCCCTGGCACCCTGACAAACTCTAGGAGGGAGGTCCACTCACTAGGACACAGCCCTAGTGCTGATGCCACATGATGATTCCTACAGGTCACTGCAGCTTCAGCTGTCCCATCCTCCACCAGGAGCCTAGGGGAAAGGGGTGGGGACAGACACAGAACCCTCACAACTATTCAGGTGGCCAATCTCCTGGACCCAACATACTTCCCTCCCACTGTTTCATCTTTAACGCACTTTTCCTCATTCATTCATTCAAAAAATATTAAGCAATTCCCATGACTGGGAATTCTGCTAACACAGGGACAGCAGGTAGATGAAGTTGGATAAGGAAGTAAACAGTGTGACAGGCATCCGCCTGTGCTCTCACCTGATGCTGGCCTGGCTTACAGATGTCTGAGTGAGGCAAGTAGGGTCCCGATGAATGCACCTCCCCTGGGATGAAGAAAGAGGCTTGAAAAGTCGTCCTGACCCCATCAGATTCCTCTAGCATTCCCAGATCAACCTGTCTCTTCCCATACCTGAGGGCAGATGCTGGTACAATGAGTACACACCCAGAGGAGTTCAAGGGCGAAGACAGAAACGATATGGCACGAGGCAGTGGCCTGGAAAGGAGCCTGGCTTCCCTGTAGAAGTTCAGCCAGGTAGATGTGGGGCAGGGGAATGCTAGAGAAAGGGACAGACAGAGGTTTTAAAAAAAAAGTAGGCAAAAAGTAGGCAAAGAGTGTCTGAAAACTCCCAGGGTAGGTCTGGAAGAACTTAGCATGCACAGGGATGGGGACAGCAGTGGGTCTCTGGTTCTCCTGGAAGCTCCATATCTGTCCCATGCCAACATGTTCATTCCTGATCTTTGATAGTCATCAATTATTTTTTCAAAATTGAACACGATGACATTAGCAAGAAAGATATTTGCATTTTAGACTGAAAAACTTTCAAGACCCTAGAACATTATTTCATTCTGAATAAAATGACGGGTGGGGGCGCGTGTGCGTGCGTGCCCAAGATCCCGAGAGGAGAATGGAGGAGAAGGGATTGCGGCGTGACCATCCCCCCTGGGGGGTGATTTCTCACTTTCTGTCTCTATGTCTCTCTCTGTCTGTCTGGCGAGCGCACACGCCCTATAGCAAAAAAAAAAAAAAACCTCTCCAAATAAAATGACAGGTGGTAGGCACTTTTTATCTGGGGTAGAAGAAATTCTTCTGATTCAACACATTCTGCTAGGCCTGAACAAGACTGTAATTACAGCTCAAGTTTGAGTCAAGGACGTGTGGGATGTGAACATGTGCATGTGGAGTTTAGGGGTCAAGGTCTAGGGCACTGACCTGACTATGGCCTCTGGAGGAAAACTCAGGACCTGCACATAAGTGGATGGCCGGAAACAACAGTAGACATTGTGGGATCTGTAAGTGAAAGATGAGTAGTGAGGAGAAAGAGGTCAAAGTCAGTAGGAGCTTGGGACTTGGGTCACAAATCATAGGCTTGGCCACTCTGCACTGTCCCAGCCCCCAACTATGTCTCTACCAAAGCAGAGAGAAGAGAAGACAGTCTGCAACATCCCAAGAAAGTAGATAATGTAGATATAAATGGCATCTCCAAAGTTATATCAAAGAAGTGTCATTGCAGGATAGAGACAGAGGCAAGTGTTAAAAAGAGTCATGTCAGTAGAAAAGAGCCATGTCAGTATGGAAAGGAGGCGAGGTCACATACAGATCTTCACCTCGAAACTCTTCTCTCCAGTTGGCTGAAGTAGACTCGGGCTCCCGGAAGGAGTCCTAATGGGGTGGGCAAGTGTGGGTCTTCGATATATATGTCCAGGTGAGGGGGAAATTCACAGTCGGCAATTTCTAGAGCTACGGTTAACTTCACACACCCTCTTAGGAGCCCAGGATTCCCTATGGAAAGACAGAGGGGGTGGTGGTGAGTGGGATCTGTTAGGATTCCTAATTATGCCTACATTCTCCCCAAAGGAAGAGTTATTACCGGGTTTTGTCCAAAGAGAGTCCAGAAGTGGCTTACACAGTGTCCGTGCCAAAATCTCAGCGGAGAAAGACACCAAGGAATCTGTGAAGCTGGAAAATTAAAGAAATGCACTGAGAATGGAGGCATAAGAAAGCAATACAAAGAACCAAACCAAAGGGCAGAAAAAGGAACTATACTATCTGCTAGAATGCCAGATGGAAAGTCCTAGAAAAAAACTCAAGCTCTGTAAAATCGCATATCAAATATAATAGGGCTTATGGGAAAATCAGGTTGTGGCAGATTATTCAAAACCTATGTATCCTGGGACCAGCAAGTGGCCTGGTGGTTAAGGGCGCTGGACTCCCACATGGCTGACTGCAGTTCGAGTCCAAGACCTGGCATCTTGCCTTCTCACTTTCTCTCTCTCTGTCCCTCTCTGGTCAAATTCAAACAAATAAATAAATAAAGTTTTAAAAAATTCTTTAAAAACAAAGAAACAAAAACCTATGTATCCTGAGGCCTTTCCAGCAGGAGTTAAAGCTGCTTCTTTGCTATTACACCTAGAATCTCTGTAGGCCTTTTTGCACCTTGAGACTCATGCTCCTTGCTTTAAAACATAGGTCCTCAGAAGCATTAACTTCTTCTAGAGTTTGGTTTTATAAAAATTACACATACAGTTATGTAAGGCTTTGTATTTTTTTTTTTTAGGTTTTTGCCATAGTTCACATGATCTCACCAAAGAAGGACAGAGAGGGGAAGTGAGAAATCACCCTCCAGGCGAGATCGCCACACCATAATCCCTCCCTGTTCACCTCTTAAGATTTTGGGCATGCATGCTGGTGCCCCCAACATGATTTCTTTCTTTCTTTCTTTCTTTCTTTTTTTTTTTTAATAATTACTTATTTAGGATCCAGCAGATAGTGTAATGGCTACATCATTGGACCCCCATGTAGTCGACTGTGGTTCGAGTCCCAGACCTGGTGGCTTAAACTCACGTGTGCCTCGTGCCCAAGATGCCAAGAGAAAAATGGAGAAGGGATTGTGGCATGGACATTCCCCCTAGGGAGTGATTTCTCGCTTTCTGTCTCTCTGGCAAGTGCATACGCCCTATAGCAAAAAGAGGCTGGATTTCCACATAGCTGACATGGTTTGAGTCCCGGACCAGGCGGCTTGCTTTCTCCCTTTCCTGTTCTCTCTCTTAAAAAAGAATGATAATGATAATAGTGGAATTAGATAAATAAATAAATCTTAAAATAAGGGGGAAAAAAAGAAACACACCCTATAGCAGAGAACAAACTGTTTACCAAACCCAACCAGCAAGAATAATGAGTGGCAATTAGGTGGAGGGGCTGGGGAACATTTACTCGCCACTGAACAGGTTAGTCAGCGAGGATTCAGGCAGTGCCTTGTTTACGCCTGGTACAACTGGGGTATCCAGGGAGCTCTCAAGCTCCAGGGTCCACTGGTACTGCACAGTAAGGCAGGACACACAGCCAGCCAACTCCAGAGGACGCTGAGATATACAGGATGAATCATCATTCTCGAACACCTTCGACATCTGTGGGAAGATGGAAAGATGACTCCTTCTGAGTGTGGTTGAGAGGGATGTTAGTAAAATACCCAAACTAATTTCATTTTCTTTCTGGCTGGAGATCTTGACACAGACAGGCCTTCAGGTCTACCAAAATCCAGCCTTCTTCTAGTACACCTAGATATAAGGACCTGGAAAATCTCAAGCTGTGCTAAACTGCTCACCAAAAGTCACAGAGTTTATGGGATAAACAGGGTTGTAGCAGATCATATTCAGAGGCTTTACCGGAGGAGTTAAGTCTGCTTTTACAATGATACCTAAAATCCCTGTAAGGCTTATACTTTGGTACTCATATCCCTTTATTTTTATTGTTTTTGGAGAGGTTTTAGCTATACGGTGTGTGCGCTCGCCAGACAGAGAGCGAGAAATCACCCCCCAGGGGGGATGGCCATGCCGCAATCCCTTCTCCTCCATTCTCCTCTCGGGATCTTGGGCATGCACACACACGCGCCCGGTGTGAGTTTTAAGCCACCAGGTCCGGGAAGCAAACTGCAGTCGACTATGTGGGAGTCCAGTGACAGTCATTACGCTAACTGCTGGTCCCTCATATCCCTTGTAAAACATAGGTCTTCAACCAGGCACTGCCATGCCTCTCCAAATTCCATTTCATAAAAAGCTTTCTGGGGACCAGCAGTTGGCATAATGGCTACGTCGCTGGACTCCCATGTGGTTGACCATCGTTTGAGTCCCGGACCCAGTGGCTTAAAATCACACTGGGTACGTGTGTGTGCATGTGTGCCAAGATTCTGAGAGGAGAATGGAGGAGAAGGGATTGCGGCATGGCCATGTCCCCTGGGGAGTGATTTCTTGCTTTCAGACTCTGTCTTTCTGGCAAGTGCATGTGCCCCATAGCAAGAAAACCTCTTCAAAAAATAAAAAATGCTTTCTGGAGAAGGGTGTGATGAAGTAGGCACTCACCTGGGGCCCAGGGGCCACCAGTCGATAGACTCGCCCTGGGTGCAAGAACTCAAACCAGCGGACTGAAGGGCCCAAGAAGATGAGAAAAACCTGTAAGGAAGGAGAGTAAGGCACTGAGGTCCTAGCCAGGAGCTAGGGTAATGGAGGTCAGGTCCTAGGTCCCTGGAGTCCTGCTTTACCTTCTCATCCTTGTCTTTATCTCCCTGGGGCTCAGGTGGGCCCCATCCAGTATCATCCTTCCTCTGAGTGCCCCCAAGCCAGCTCCCTGACACATGAAAACTGAGAGTGGGCTTGAGTTCCTCTGGACTGACTCCTGGGGGTGCACAAAGATTCCGCTTCATGAGGGCCTCCTTGTGAAAAAGCAGGAAGAGCCGGCTCTGTGCTATCTGGGGTCCCTCTGGACAGGGGGGCTCTGTCTGAGGTGTGGAGAAACTGGCTGAATGAAAGAAGGATCTGGGTACAGGCAAGATCAGGGCATCGGCCAGGAGGAACTGCACATATACTCTGTTGGGAGAGAGAGAGAGACAAGGAACAAATTTTTTAGGATGCAGGCACTGGTGTTCTGGGCCCCTGGATTCCACCACCTGCAGCAGGCCCTTCCTTGCCCTCCAATTTGGTAGTAGTCACCATCCCTGGGAGCCAACCTGGCCTGCTGCTTCTGGATGAAGCCTGCCATGCTCAGCTCCTTCCAGGAAGGGAAGTTGCTTCGGACGTCTCTCTCTATGACCAACTGAAACCTCTCTGCCCGCACCAGGCAGCCTAGAGGAAAAACGTTTTCCATTTTGGCAAGAAAAGAGAACCAAAGAGTGGGCAATGAGGCAGACCACCCTATAGGTCTCTCTCTCTATCCCAGGCCACAGTTGCTCCCCTAACATAATGTGAAATCCACGCCTGACCGCACCTTAGAGGGGTGGTACCACCAAGGAGAAACCATTCCAATCCAGCCCCTAGGCAGAAAGGCCTTGGTTGTATTTCTAAGAAACTTTCCTTTCCAGAGTTTCTCTGTTTATAAATCCTAAGAAATTGGGACCCACAGATGGCGTAATGGCTATGTTGCAGGACTCCCATGTAGTCGACTGTGGTTCAAGTCCTGAACCCGGTGGTTTAAACTAATGCCAGCTTGTGTGTGTGCATGCCCAAGATTCCTGGAGGAAACAGGATTGTGGTGTGGCAGAGATCCCTGGAGGAGAAGGGATTGTGGTGTGGCCATCCCTCCCTTGGGAGTGATTTCTTGCTTTCTGTCTGTCTTTCTGGCAAGTGCACACACCCTATACCAAAAACCTCTCCAATAAAAATATCCTAAGAAACCAAGAGACCATAATCTTCCAAACTAAGGCTGTGGAAATAGGAGTTGTGCTCCTAGTGTGCGTGTTAGGAGCACTGCTGGGGAAAATGAAGGTAGGGAATTGTAGTTCTGGTTAGAGGTCCCCTGCTCCTTTTTTCTATCTGCCATACTGGTCTCCCAAACTTCTCCCAAAAGTTGCCGCCAGAAGTGTCACTTCGGCATCTCCAGTAAATCCCAAGCAAATGCTTCTTCCCAGGCTCCCCAGGTTCTGAGAACCTCTACTCCACCCCCATCTTCTTTCCTCTGAGCTCCAAACCTATAAGCTGGGGGTCAGCGAGGGGTTGCGAATGCTTGGCCAGGAGGAGGCAGGGGAGGGAACCACTTTGGTCCCGAAGCTGCAGACAACCTTTATGAGATGAAGCCACCAAAACACCAAGTAAAACCTGCAGAAAGATGAAGGCCAAGGTATCAAATATTTATTAAACAAATGCTGAGCATCTATTATGTGCTAGATTCCATACTGTTAGAACTACAAAGTGAACAAAAAAGACATGGTCTCTGGTCACAAAGGACTTATATTTGAGTGAATAAGGCAGATATGAAATAACACACATGTACTACACACTGAGAAGCAGCAGAAAAAGCACCCAAATTGAGACTGGAAGTAAGAGACCATGTAGGACCTCATAGGACATAATGAGCAGTTTCATTTTATTTTATATGTATTGGGAGAACCATGAAAAAAAGATTTAAGCAAAAAAGTTTTATAGGGGGACCAGGAGTTAGCATAATGGCTATGTCGCTGGACTCCCATGTAGTCGAACGCGGTTCAAGTCCTGGACCCAGTGGCTTAAACTCACGCTGGGCGCATGTGTGTGTGTGTGTGTGCCCAGGGTCCCGAGAGGAGAATGGAGGAGAAGGGATTGTGGCATGGCCATCCCCCCAGCCATGTAGTCGACTGTGGTTCAAGTCCTGAACCCGGTGGTTTAAACTAATGCCAGCTTGTGTGTGTGCATGCCCAAGATTCCTGGAGGAAACAGGATTGTGGTGTGGCAGAGATCCCTGGAGGAGAAGGGATTGTGGTGTGGCCATCCCTCCCTTGGGAGTGATTTCTTGCTTTCTGTCTGTCTTTCTGGCAAGTGCACACACCCTATACCAAAAACCTCTCCAATAAAAATATCCTAAGAAACCAAGAGACCATAATCTTCCAAACTAAGGCTGTGGAAATAGGAGTTGTGCTCCTAGTGTGCGTGTTAGGAGCACTGCTGGGGAAAATGAAGGTAGGGAATTGTAGTTCTGGTTAGAGGTCCCCTGCTCCTTTTTTCTATCTGCCATACTGGTCTCCCAAACTTCTCCCAAAAGTTGCCGCCAGAAGTGTCACTTCGGCATCTCCAGTAAATCCCAAGCAAATGCTTCTTCCCAGGCTCCCCAGGTTCTGAGAACCTCTACTCCACCCCCATCTTCTTTCCTCTGAGCTCCAAACCTATAAGCTGGGGGTCAGCGAGGGGTTGCGAATGCTTGGCCAGGAGGAGGCAGGGGAGGGAACCACTTTGGTCCCGAAGCTGCAGACAACCTTTATGAGATGAAGCCACCAAAACACCAAGTAAAACCTGCAGAAAGATGAAGGCCAAGGTATCAAATATTTATTAAACAAATGCTGAGCATCTATTATGTGCTAGATTCCATACTGTTAGAACTACAAAGTGAACAAAAAAGACATGGTCTCTGGTCACAAAGGACTTATATTTGAGTGAATAAGGCAGATATGAAATAACACACATGTACTACACACTGAGAAGCAGCAGAAAAAGCACCCAAATTGAGACTGGAAGTAAGAGACCATGTAGGACCTCATAGGACATAATGAGCAGTTTCATTTTATTTTATATGTATTGGGAGAACCATGAAAAAAAGATTTAAGCAAAAAAGTTTTATAGGGGGACCAGGAGTTAGCATAATGGCTATGTCGCTGGACTCCCATGTAGTCGAACGCGGTTCAAGTCCTGGACCCAGTGGCTTAAACTCACGCTGGGCGCATGTGTGTGTGTGTGTGTGCCCAGGGTCCCGAGAGGAGAATGGAGGAGAAGGGATTGTGGCATGGCCATCCCCCCAGGGAGTGATTTCTCACATTCTGTCTCTCTGTCTCTGTCTGTCTGGTGAGTGCACACGCCCTATAGCAAAAACCTCTCAAGGAAAAAAAAGAAAAAGTTTTATAGGGACCAGCAGATGGCAAAATGGTTATGTTGCTAGACTCCCACATAGATGACTATAATTCAAGTCCTGGACCCAGTGGCTTAAAACTCATGCCAGGTGCATGTGTGCCCAAAATCCTGAGTGGAGACCTAGAGAAGGGAATGCAGTATGGCCATCTTCCCAGGGGGGAGGGTGATTTCTCACTTCTGTTTCTCTGTTCCTCTCTGTCTCTCTGGTGAGCGCATGCGTCCTATATAAAAAAATATCTCTCTCAAAAAAAAAAAAAAGGTTTTATAATCCCAGTTACACTTTATCCCCTCTTTTTAGTTGCTATACACAGAATGAATTAGAGAGGGCCAAGAGCAGATAGAGCTGTCTAGTTAGAAGGCTAGGATGTTCAAAATGACAAAAAATGACAGGGACCTGTTCTAGAGTAGTGGCAATGAGGGTGAGTCCTACTGGAGCCCCCCTTACCTGGGCTGGCTGGAAGGCAGAGGGCAGCAGACGGAGCCAGGACCAGGCCAGGCGGTGATTGAGTTGACAGCTAGGCAGGTGGGAAGCCTCTGGGAGTGGCAGAAGGGCCTTAGGGTCAAAGGAGGCCCAGGCCCTGCGCTGTCCTTCCTCTTTCAAAGTGGCCAGAGTGGGGAAAGAATACGGTGTCTGCAGCCGAGCATACTATCCGGGAGAAGAAAGAAAGCAGATTGTGTGTCCCAGGCATCCGCCAGAGCATTGGCCTGCTACCCATCTTTCCCCCGCATCCTCATACTTTCTGGAGGGGACAGCGATGAGGCTCTATGAAGATCTCACTGTGTGCATTCCGAAAGGTGCTGCCTGGCGGAGCCAAACCATCCAAGGTCGGAGCCAGGAGTTGCAGTCCCAAGTTGGGGCTCCCAGGAGAGGAGTGCTGCAGGAACTGGCGGTGTCTCAGCACATGGGGACAAAGCCTTGGCCAAGGGAAGAAGCGCAGTTACTCCTCCAAAGACCCTATCTTGACAAGGATCCAGTGTCCCTTACAGAAACCTCCCCAGTCCCAGCTCCTCGTTCTCCTCACTTGCAGGTCAGCTCCTCCAGGGCTTTGGTCACCCAAAGGTAGAGGGGAAGTCCTAACTGATGTTCCCAGACCAACTGCTCAAACAAGGAGGCCCCGTGGGCTTGGTGGGACAACTGAGTCCCAGGCTTCTGACGAGAGAAGCCCCGAAGCAGAACAGCACCACGGAGACAGGGGGCGAGCACCGGCCTGCTTGTTCCTCCACCCACTGACTGGAGAAGGTGGACATCCTGGAGCTGAGAGAAAGAAGAAAAAGTGAAAAACCAGGGGTGAGGCCTCTAATTCAAAGGCCCCAGCCAGAGTTAACTGCAGTTTTCTGCTGCCTGGATCCCAGGGGAAATAATTTCTCCTACAATGGCTGCTATTTCCGTCCAGTCCCAAGCCTCACCCTCCACCACAGGCCATTCTCCCTCAGGTCAACCTTCAACCCCAAGTGCTCCAGCAGTCTCTGTGGGCCAGGTGCTTCCCGCGGGAGGTAGGGCTTGGCGTCTCACGAGGCTGCCTGAGATCATACTGGCCCACACCTGTGCTTCAGCCATCTCCTCCAGTCAGAAGGTCCTTCTGGGAAGGAGAGACTCTGACCCCAACCCCTTCTCATAATGCCTAAGCCTCTCCTTTCTGATCAAGGCTCTTGTCCAAATAATTCTTAACAGAAGCACCCTCCAACACACACATAGTTGTGCATTTCTGCTGTAAAGGTTCCACCCTACTGCAAAAACAAAAACTGCCCATAAATGGAAAAGATGCTGCTGAGGGGCCTCTCACATACCTCCAGACAGACCCCAGGTCGCATCACCCGCCTGAGGCCGCGGACCTGCTGGTAAGCGAGGCAGAGCCCCAGCTGCCTATCCAGCTCATAGAGGCCAGCAGGCTCATTAAACACGCCAGTGACTGTCCCCTGCAAAGAGATCACAGGTCCTGTTGAACACTATTTCCTTTCCCTTTGCAGACTCATATTTCCTGCCCTTCCAGCTCTAGAATCGGTCCCTGATGCTTACTGTGTATGATAACAGTTTGGAGTTCCGGATAAGACCTTTTTGCTCATTCCTGTCCTGGGAGGTGCTAGGCATGGGGAGTGGCTTGGGGTCAGTCTCCAAGGATCCTTCCAGCTCCGGTTCCAATTCCAGCTCCCGCACACATTCTGGTTTCAGTGGCAACAGACTAGAAGAGGTACTGGTCGTCCAAACACGGTGATGGAAACCACGGACCTTGAATACTCGCAGTTCTGTCAGCACATAAGACCTACCAGGCCAAAGGGCTCGGTGCCACACCAGCTGGGCAGGGACCTAGCTCAGACAGAAGCAGGTAATATGACATATGAGACACTGACTCCAACACTATATTTGTGCTGGGCCCTTCTGCCAGAATCCCTTTCCAACCTTGTTTGATCTCAGCTACCTGCTCCACCCATGAGTCTCCCTGCCTCTCCATATTGCTTATGTTTGCCAATTAAATCTTTTTTTAAAAAAACTATTTATTTAATTGTATTTATTCATTCTTTTTCTAAATTTTAATTTGACTAGAGAGAGAGAGAGGGAAAGTGAGGACACTCCCAGAACTCGAACTATGGTCGACCACGTGGGAGTGTCCAGCACCTTAACCACCACACCACCTACTGGTCCCCCTGCCAATTAAATCTTTTTTCTTTTCTTTCTTTAAGAATTACTTTATTATTTCATTGAGCTTTATTTTTTATTTATTTAAATTTGACCAGAGACAGAGACAGAGGTGGGGGGTGGAATGAAAAAGCAAGCAGCCAGGTCCGGGACTCAAACCATGGTCAGCCATATGGCAATCCAATGCCCTCAACCAGCATGCCACCTGCCGGCCTCGCTCTCAGTCCCTGCCAATTAAATCTTAAGCCAAATAGCTTTCAAGATCTTTCCTCTCACAGGAGATGTCAAATATTTCTTTCTCTTGTTTTTCTTTTCCTTTTTTGGGGGTACTTTTAAAGAATTATTTAATTTATTTATTCATTTATTTTAATTAGACCAGAGAGAAAGAAAGGGAAAGTGAGAAAGCAAGCCATCAGGTCTGGGACTTGAACATGGTTGGAGTCCAGTACCTCAACCACCATGCCACCTGCCGGCCCCAATTTCAAATATTTATCTCTTCCCCAAGATATAAACCGTCCCTAAAACTTCCTTCAAAATACAGATATATTCAGGACCAGCAGATGGCATAATGGTTACGTTGCTGGACTCCCACATAGTTGACCATGGTTTGAGTCCTGGACCTGGTGGTTTAAAACTTATGTGGAGTGCATGTGTGTGCATACCCAAAATCCAGAGAGGATAATGGGGGAGAAGAGATTGAGGCGATTGAGGCATGGCCATCTCTCCTAAGGGTAATTTCTCACTCTATCTCTGTCTCTCTCTGTCCCTCTGGAGAGCACACATGCCCTATAGCAAAAATCTCTCTTAAAAAAAAAAAAACGAAGACGGGACCAGCAGTTAGTGCAATGGCTATGTCGCTGGACTCCCACGTAGTCAACTGCGGTTCGAGTCCCGGACCTGGTGGCTTAAACTCACGCTGGGCGCGAGTGCATGCGTGCCCAAGATCCCGAGAGGAGAATGGAGAAGGGATTGTGGTGTGGCCATCCCCCCTGGGGGGTGATTCCTTGCTTTCTGTCTGTCTGTCTGGCAAGCGCATGTGCCCTATAACAACAGCAACAAAAAAATCTCTCCAAAAAAAAAGAAATATTCAATTTTTTAAATAAATATTTCTTCAAGATACTGAGAAAATTATGCACTTTTCATGACTTCCCCATCCAAACAAGAATCACTACACATATCAGCCTGTATTAGGTACATCCAGTATTAGGTCAGCTATTAAGGGGAGTCCAATAAACTGCTCCCTCTTCGCCAACATATTTCAAACCACTGGGGAAAATAGACACAAACCCAGGTAACAATACAGAGTCATATATGATCAGGTGTCAAAAACAATAGCACTCGGTAAGTATATTTCAACCTGTATTGAGATAGAAAGGAAAGATCAGCATGGGCTGGAAAGATCCAGAACATCTAGTGAAAGAAGTGGAACTTGAAATAGGATCCTACACGATACAAGTCTGTCTAAATGGAGAGGAGACAGAATGGTGATTCAAGAAGACAACCACACAGAGATGCTCAGAATTCTGCAGAAACACTGGTCAGGACAAAAAGGGAATGCTTCTGGGAGTTATAAGAGGCAAGATAGGCAAGCCAAAACAGAAAAAAGTCCAAAGATGCAGGAAGGATATTACATATTGCAGATTGGAGATAGTAGGGCGGTTGCTGAAGAAATTATGCACCAGTGTCGCAGGTGAGACTGTTAATAAATATAACAGTCATCTAGGGCTTGCTCTTCCCATGAGCATAAGAGTAAAGTTGCTGTTCTCAGGACCTTCAGAACACATTGATGGCCCAGCCTCTGTGGTACAGTCAGTACCCTACCAGACAGCAGAGCTGGAAGCCACATGCCCAGTCAGCCAGAATCACAGTGGGTACACACGCATGCCAGGACCGTGGAGAGCTATAATAGATGACTGGAGGGAGGAGATGGTGGTATGACCAAGCCCTGTGGAGGGAGCTTCTCGGTCTCTCTCTCTTTCTCTCGTGTGTGTGCACATACTTCATCATGAACAACAACAAACACCTCACTGATGACTCAAGACACTTGACTTCACAGTCATCTATGTTTACCTTCTCGGACTTCCATTTCCACTCTAGAAGAAGCAGAGGCCCACCAGTCAGACCTCGGATGCCAGAACTCCTTTGCTGTGAAGACCTTACTTAATCTTACCGTTTCACACAAAACAAGTATTGTAGCGATGGTCTGACTGAATAAACAAAAGAAGAAAAACTGGTGTTTCTCCTTGCCACTTTCCCTATTCTCTTTAAGCATGTCCTCCAACCTCTTACTAAGACCTCTAGTATCTCAGCCCCATCTCATTCATTCAGACTTTGAGGTCCTTCCCTTATTGTATGAATGCCAGGATCTGAATGACTTGCCCCTGAATTCTTCCCTTTTTACCCTTTACCTTTGAGTCCACCAATACATAACTACATCTCTCTGCTTCCTCCACTCCTTTTCTTTTCCTTTTTTTTTTTTGGCTTTTGCCATAGGGCACATGCACTCGACAAAGACAGAGAGAGGGAAAGCCAGAAATCACCCCCTAGAGGGGATGGCCACATTGCAATCCTTTCTCCATTCTCTTATTTTGGGCAAAAATACACAAGAGTACCTGGTGTGATTTTCAGGTTGCCAGGTCTAGGACTTGAACCAAGGTCACCCATGTGGGAATCCAGCACCTTAACCACCACATCTGCTAGTGGTTCTTTTTCTAAGGCAAAACCCTACGTGAGGAAATCAGGCCCACATGCTAACCCAGTGCCAAACATGGCTGCTAACCCTTTTCAGCTGGGGCCCTCACTGCTTAGCAATCTCTTATCCCAACTACCTGGTATATTAACTATCCTAAACCTTCACTCTCCTTTTCATAGTCCAGGTTTTTTCTTTTTTATTATTATTTATTAATTATTATTATTATCCAATTTTTTTTCTTTTTTTTGGAGAGGTTTTTGCTATAGGGCACGTGCACTCGCCAGAAAGACAGAGAGAGACAGAGACAGAAATCAAGAAATCACCCCCCCAAGGAGGATGGCCATGCCACAATCCCTTCTCATCCATTCTCTTCCATTCTCTTCTGAAGATCTTGGGCACGCACGCACACGCACCCAGCGTGAGTTTAAGCCACTGGGTCCAGGACTTGAACTGCGGTCGACTACATGGGAGTCCAGCAACATAGCATTACGCTAACTGCTGGTCCCTTATTATTATTCAATTTGAGCATAGAGTCAGAGAGAGTGAGTAAGGGAGAGTGAGAAAGCAAGCTGCATCTGGGTCTTGAACTGTGGCCAACCATGTGGGAGTCCAGCGTCTTAACTACATCGCTACCTACCAGCCCCAAAAGTCCCGTTCTTTGTGTTCAAGATAACCTCATCGGCTCTATTTTTTTTTTTGGAGAGGTTTTTTGCCATAGGGCATGTGTACTCACCAGAAAGACAGAAAGCAAGAAATCAAGGCAGAAAACAAGAAATCATCCTCCCCCCAGGAGGAATGGCCATGCTGTAATCCCTTCTCCTCCATTTCTCTTGGGAACACATGCACATGTGCCCTGCGTGAGTTTAAGCCACCAGGTCTAGGACTCGAACAGCAGTTGACTACATGGGAGTCTAGCGACATAAACATTATGCCAATTGCTGGTCCACCTCATCTCCTTTATTATATAAGGGATTTACTAGGGTCATCTAGAGTGACAACATGGCTCCAACATGTGTCTTTTGCAGCCTGCAAACACACCAAGACCACTTGTTCTCTGACCTCCAGCCTATTCCAGGTCACCTGTGCACCCTCCCATTGCCTCATGCACGTGCATTAGCTGCAACTGCAGTTATGATACTGTGCAGTAATCACAGACTCTCTCATCTGGCTGACAGCTTCTACAGGACAAGAGCCATTACTTTATTCAATTTTGTGCCTACAACTGACCAAGGTCCTACCATATAGCACATGCTCAGTAAAGGTTCAATGTGGGCCAATAGGTAGTGTGGTGGTTAAAGGACATGGCCGACTGGTTCAAGTCCCAGACCTGACAGTTTGTTTTCTCACTTTCTCTCTCTTTCTGATGAGTACACTTTCACTATAGCAAATTAAAAATAAGAGACCAGTAGGTGGTATAGTGGTTAAGGGTGCTGGACTCCACATGGCTGAGACCACAGTTTGAGACCCAGAACTGGCAACCTGCTTTCTTACTTTTTATTTTCTCTCTCTTACTCTGTCCCTTTCTGGTCAAATTAATATAAATAAACAAATTAAAAAGTTAAATAAAAAATAATTCTTTTATATGGGGAGGGAGAGGTTTTTGTTATAGGGCATGTGCACTCGCCAGAAAGAGAGAGACAGACAGAAAGTGAGAAATCATCCCTTAAGGGAGATGGCCACCTTGCAATCCCTTCTCCTCCATTCTCCTCTTGGGATCTTGGGCAAGCATGCACATGCGCCCAGTGTGAGTCTAAACCACTGGGTCTGGGACTCGAACCACGGTTGATAACATGGGAGTCGAAGTCCACAACCATAGCCATTACATCAACTGCTAGTCCCAAATCAAAGACAATTCTTTAAAAAAAAAAAAGTTGGGGGGCCCTAAGGTGGTGTGGTGGTTAACGGTGATGGACTGCCACATGATTGGCTGTGGTTCGAGTCCCGGACCTGGCAGCTTGCTTTCTCACTTTCTCTCTCT